ACAAGGCCCACCGCGGCCCACGGCATGGCGGCAGAGGTGAAGCGGAGCCACGCATGGATGACAGCGGGGCGGCCTAGCGCAGCGGCAGCGGCGGTGGCCGAGCTCGACTCGCGTAAGGCAATGCTGCGGGGCTGTAGGACCAGCGACAGGCCGAGGAGCTCACGCGCGCACATGTGAGGGGGCAAGGCAACGGCGGCCGCTGCGGGGCAACGCGGGGGCTCGGGAGGGACAGCACCATGGCCATGGTCCGGCGTGGTCGTGGGGATCACGCGCTCGCTCGGGGGAGGGCCGGCACCGGCGGCCGATGCGGATAATGGCAGAGAAGGTGGTAGCTGCGCAAGCTTGGGGCGCGGTGGTCGGGCGAGGTGGCTCGGGCGCCATTGTTGGTCTGGTCTTCTGGCGCTCGCTGGATGGAGGCGGTATGGATGGCGGGTACGGAGGCGCGCGTGGCGGCTCACGTGTGTCCCCAGCGCTTGCTCGCGATGAGAGAGAGGAAAGCAGCAGATGCTCACGCAAGGCCAGCGCGCACACGTGAAGCTCACACGCGACGCCGCGCACGCATTACCACGATGGGTGTTCGACTCAGCCGAGGCAGGCAAGGCAAGTAAAGAGGCAAACAGCAGAGCAGGCAAGACAAGCAACAGAGACAAGTAAGGCAGGCAACAGAGAGCGAAGCATTGATGGTGCTGCAGGGTGATGCGACGACGCTGTCAGTTGGACGGTGGTGCTTAGCGGGGCGTGGGCATGACAGAGCCATGTGCTCCCATTAAAATTTAGACAAAACGCTAGCGAGGGAAAGAAAGAGTGAAGGACCATGGCGTAGGCAAACAGCCACAGCGCGATGGGATAGCGAAGGCAGCCAGCTCCTCCATGGTAGGTGGTTCATGCGGTGAACGAAGCACCACGTCGGCCAGACGGCTGGCAGGCAGTGCATGTGGTGACCGTAGGCCGAGTCGTACGACGGTCAGTAGCGATGCGCATGAATTTTTTAAGAGACGCAAAAACCACGGATTAGCTCATACTCCATATCAAACCATGGAACAAAATATTAGGGTGCTATGTAATTATTTTTGCGCAAAACAAATCGCCATAACAACGCTTTAAAATATAATTTCCGATTTTTACCGTTTACGCGAGAAGCTGATTTTTAATTTTTAAATTTGACTTTGAGCTAGCAAAAACCCCAGTTAGCAATATTCGTTCTCCAAAACCAAAATTGCATTTTTATCTACTAAACTTACACTTCAAACTTTTATCTAAGTATAAATTACAAGCTATATTTTATTTGGTTTATAAAAATTGTTTTTCACGCTTAATTCCATAGAACAAACCATCCGCTACTTATTTGCTAGAATTATTGCCCGACATTTCTAAATATCTTTATGCACTGAGTAATTTAACTTGGACATTTATTTGAGTCCATGGAACTGAGTCACATAGGATTCGCTTATCGCTTCAAGTATGTTTTAAATCAAAAATCCGAGAAACTCGTTTCAGAAATTTTTCTTAGGTCTAAATCTCGGTGCTAAACAAGATCATAACACCAGGGGTGTTATAGTAAGTCTTGCGAGTATATTGTGTATTCAGAGTTTATTTTACCATGTTGTAGGTGCAGCTTGAAGAGTTAGATCTTGTGTGAATGATTCTTCTAGTGGGCACAGATGAATCTGTGTATCGTTTTCGCTAGATGTTATTGTGATTCCACTATTTAATTATTACACTCTAAACTTTGGTATTGTAATAAATAATCTTCCAAGACCCTATGTTGTATGAAATGGACTAAATATTATAAGCTCGTACTCATTATTGGATTCTAGATGTAAAACATGGATTGTTTCGAGTTCTCCCTAGGGGTGTGCTCGACGGAACTGTCTATTTTAGCACACTTTTGAGGTGCTTAGTGTCTAGTGAAAGATAAACGCGTCTCTGAAAGTGTGTTATTTTAGGCGGTTCTGCCACATTAAAACTTGTGGGTTGCAAATATTTAATCCTTGTCTAAGTTGTTGTGGGTTATGATATGGTACAACGGAATTTGCTATGACTTTATTCTAAGAGAAACTTGACATCCGGAGAATTCATTTTCAAAATGCAAAACATCAAAAATTCCTCAACGATGTTATTACCTACCAAAGCCATATGATGATATTCATTGTAAAATCGTAGTTATATGCTGCTTGTTATAATATTGAGCTTTGTCAAATTGTTGTGACCCTAGTAGAGATTCTTATCATGCACCCATGATCAAGATTCATGTACACTCCATATATAATCTTGCTGGCTCTTACACCGAGAGTTACACAAAAACAAGCCATCCATCCACCAAAAAATAAAATAAACTCCATCATGGTGACATGAACCTTTCTCTAAAGTTTCCATTTGTTAAAGAAGTATGGAGCTATGCAAAAAGAAAAAAAAAGAAAAGAAAATTCATGCTCAAAAGAGTATGAGAAAAAAGAAGGAAGGATATCCATGCTGAATAAAGCATGATAGAGAAAAAAGAGAAAAATAAGAGAGAAAAGATGGCCCATATCTTCTAAGTTATAAATGAGAGAAAGGCATGCCAAAGGAGTCTAAATAAATAAGTTTAGAAAATTCCACACACTTGCAATTGATTAAAGTGTATGATTTGCATCTTCTAGAGGTCCGGTTTTTGACTTAGCAATATTATATGATGCAAGTATGCCTCATTTTTCATACCTACCTTAAGATCCATATAAGTCATTGAAGTAGGATGAAAGGCAATATTCAAAAGCCTTTGGTAAGGATCATACACATTGAGCGATCGAGTGAATCATTCGAGGAACTTGAATTTATTTATACAAAAACTTTCAAAACCTCTGGAAAGAAAGTAGATCAAGGAATGAAAGATAAGCAATTATGTAACCGTTCTATCTTGCAACCGCCCAAGACTTGATGAAAATCAGAAGCCCCATAGGTAACAAGAAAGATGGGTGGATAGAATGCCGATTTATTCAAATTAAGGAAGAAGACTTTGTTATAAGCATGGTACACTTGAAATGTAATCGGCATAGTAGCAACTCCTGATCAACAACCAATGTCTTAGCTCTTGCTCGGGACTCGCAAGGGGTAAGCTTGGGGGATTTTGCTCTCTACGTTGTACTGTGTAATTCGCAAAAAAAATCTTGAAACATCCTTTAGTGGCCGCCTTCTCTATCTCGATAAATAACTAGATGGCCTGGGACTGAACCACCATGTCTACCTTTATGATTCAAAAATGTTTGCACAATTCGAGCCACTGACAAGATGAAATAATCATCATCATCTGAAGACAACTCATCCAATTCTCTTTGAAGAAGTGATTTGTATCCACTCATGACGTTGTGGCCTCCTGTCGGCCGGTCAGGAGAGGCTGCCGGACAGCTGGGATTGGCTGCAGGCAGCAGAGATGGTCGGCTAGGGTTTTGGCCGCCTGCAACCTGTTGGCGGTCATTACCGACAATATCTTACCGCCAAATAAAGTCCATAACAAGGAGAACTATTACATCTTGTGCACATATATCTTTATTATTAACATGTTTCCACATGTATTGGAAGAAACATTGTTTTGTAGAGAACATGTCAAGACTTCGTCGAGTACATGATCAAAATGCGCTTTCCAACGAAGCGTATTCAAGGAAAAGGAAGAGAAGCCCATCTACCTCGTGAATCTAGGCCAACCCCCGCCATAGAAGAGATCCAAGCCCATTCAAGAACCGACCACACGAAGTCGGTGGCGACGTGACCCAGCCCTAGTGCGGCTGCACCAAGGGTGTGGCCGCCCCCTACCACCGCCTCTGGTGTGCATCTTCATCGAGGTGGTTCCTTGATCCTAGGGGAGGTCGATTCGGGAAGTTTCCATGTAAATCTACTAGTGCACCGACCTCTAGCTAGTATAAATAAAGGGGTAGAGAGCTCTTCCAAATCATCACAATCATTCATCAACAAGAGCTACTCATAACTCCATTTGTACTTTTAGTTTTCTAGTTTAGTTGGAGCTAGGCAAGAGCCTCATCAGAGATCTTGTCTCAGAAGCATTCTTGGTATGAATAATATGAAGAGTTCTTCCTTTGCAATGCTCTCATTTTATCAATGTAGCCTTGTTTATGAAATAGAGCAAAGTCAATATGTTATTCATCTAGCATATCTTTATGTTATATGTCTAGCACATAAAACTTTACGCTTCATTACTCATATCATTAATATGATTAGAATTATATCTAAGTTGAGATGGTGGTTTGTTGCTCCCTTTGGGAGGACCTTCATCCTAGCTCGTCGATCCGTAGGGTCAGAGTCCTAGGGGATGAAGGTAGTTTCTTGGTATGCAAGCATGGTGCTTGGGTGTTAAGGAATCAGCATTTGCATTTCCTTCTCCACGGTAGAGGGGTAGGCGGCAGGCGGTGATAGCCCTGTCCATCCCTTGTATTCCCCCACGTTAGGGTTGGGTGTAGGAGTCTAAAATGCTACATGAGGTTGCTGGCAGACCAGTACTCGGTAGTCTCCCCAAATCATCTCATATTTAGAATTAATCTAATCATGTATATGTATGATCTTGCTATTTCATTTGCATGACTATATTATGAATGCCATGCTCCATGTTAAGATTTATTCTTTTATTCTTTATTCTTATTTTTTTACCCCTAAGATAGTTCGAGTGTGTGAATGTGATCCACTATCCTTATCATTTACATGTTAACCCCTGCTATGAATAATTGGTATATTATGCAAGTATGATATTAAGTCCATATCCATACTAGAACTCTTTTAACGACAACATGTCTTCCTTTAGAAAAATATAAATTACGATACCCTGAATATTTTTCAGGTGAAATGCTACAATGATATTTCCGTGCGCTTGCGAAATAATCTGCAATTGTTAAGTATTATCAACCAAACATTTCCGATATCATTACTATGGACCTTAATTCTGATGATGATGTTAAGAAATATCAACACAACCGTCTGACCGAAGCTACGGCCGGGCAGGGCAGCCTCGCAGCGGCATGGACTGGCTGGAGACTGGCCGGCGGTCGGCTGGTGTCTGCCTGGGCAACCTGGAGTCCAGCTACGGGACTTTGCTTGTGCCTACGAAAGTATGGAGACCGGCCGGCGGCGGCCTCATAGAAACGTTCGCGTGAGCAGAAGGAAAGGTCGCGACCAACAGAAATTGTCGGGCTGTTTTTTATTTTTAGGAGTGCTTTTTTTTATACTGTTGGAGTTGGGCTTGTTTTGTGGTCCCAAAATTTTTTAGCGGGTTCAAAAAGACCATGTTTTTGGGAACAACAAATTGAAAACTCTTGAAGATGCTCTTCAGAAATTTGTCTAGGCCAGACATGGCTTGGCTTTGAGACGTCCGATTTTGAAATTTGAATGTCTGGGGCCAGGATTTCTTGTAAGGCCACGCATTGCCTGGCAGGCTTTAATCAAACATGCCCTTAGAGCATTTTCAAGAGATATTCTAAATTCTATGTTCTATATCTTTATTTAGCTATCCAATTAGTAGAAAATTTTTCTCCATAATTCAACACATTCTAACAATACCTATATCTCCATGAGAAAGAAATAGAGTTTGAAGCAACACAAATAGGGCACTAACTGTCAGCCTCACGTACACCAAGATGGCAAGGCATGTCAGCTACCTAAATTTGGCTTCCGAGGTTCAAAGGATAGCATGTCAAATATGATAACAATCGAATTAGCTAGTATGTTAGAGGCTAGATTTTTAAAATTTTAGCTAAAAAAACAATAGCAAGTTAGATACCAATTGTCTTGGAGATACTGTTGTATGCCTATTTTTAACACTTCCCAGTCCTTAGTCTCGTCCCTTCGGCCTTCGCCAATCGCAAATCGCCAAAATCCCCCACGCCCGGGCTCTTCTTCACTCGAGCGAAATCCCCTCTACTCAACCGCTGAACGCAGAGTTCGACCTAGCACGCGCGGCCGCCGCCGCAGCCCCCAATGGCATTCCTTTTCAAGGTACGGATCCCCGAAACCCTAATTCCCCGAGCATCCGGGTCCCCTCGCGCCGCCATGCTGACGCGACCACGCGGCTCTTCGTGGCTTCTCCTGCTGCCTCCAGGACCCGAGCAAGCTTTCGGCGTATAGGGACCGCCGATTCAAGGGGACGCAGGAGGAGTATGAGGCGGTGCTGCTTGCGTCGACAACGCTGTACATTGGGAATATGTCCTTCTACACCACGGAGGAGCAGGCCTACGAGCTCTTCTCCCGCGCCGGCGAGATCAAGAAGATCATCATGGGGCTCGACAAGAACTCCAAGACCCCATGCGGTTTCTGCTTCGTGCTGTGCGGGCCTCTTCCCCTTACTTGATACGTCGCGTTACCTTTCCTGTTTGTTCTTGCTTGGTGATTTTGGATTCGGTGCTGGGGCTACTGCAGCACGTTCGTTTTTATTTGTTAATTAGTGTTCAAACATGGACTAATTAGCCTCAAAACGTTCGTCTCGCAATTTTCCACCAAACTGTGCAATTAGTTTTTTTTTCCGTCTACATTTAATGCTCCATGTATAGGCCGCAAACATTCGATGTGACAGGTACTGTAGCACTTTTTGGGATTTTGGGGTGGAACTGAACACGCCCGTAGTTTCCTTCAATTTACAGGAACATAGCCCTCGCCCTAGTTTAATTAGAAGGGGTGATTGCCCCAATTGTTCTGTTGGAATGTAGTTTGATGCAACTGGACGCTGAGTTGATGGATTTTCTGTCCTGTTTATGTATTTTTTCTTCAATTCTTCAGTAGTGTGGCAGTGTGAGCTGTTCATCTGCTAGTTGCAATTGGACATTGGTTCATGAAATTTTATTGCTGCCAGGAACATGTGAGATGCCTAGAACTGGAATAGAGAACTGTGCTATCTCAGCGTGTACATTCCATAGGATATTGCAATAGATTGGATGGAGCCCAAGTGCTGATCTGGGGGTGTGGGGTAAATAGCGGGTGCTTGGTTCTCAGATAGACGATGGCATATACAAGAAAAATAATCCCTCTTTTCATGGTTTAGTACTTAATTTCATGCACTCTGTTTTAGTTCAGGGGTGGAGCCCCCCTGAAAGTTCCTTTCGAAAACACAATTTTTACCATATAGATGTTAACAAAAACAAATTCAGTGTATATGTGTTTATATCTTGCCGCCCACCCCCTAAACAATTATCTTCAAGTGCTGCTATGGCCATTGCTGACTTGTGCACTCTCTAGTTAGTGTGTGGTTTAATTTATCAATTTTTATGGGCACTGGGATTTAATAACATCTAATGTCCCAAACTGGTGATTTCAGTGGCTATTTGGGAATTTTTATATGTATAAGCTTGTACCACAGCTGTTTTCTATGCTTGGTTGTGAGCCTCTTCCCCAGAAGACTGGGATGTGAGTTCATGGGCACTGATATTTAGGTATACACGTTCCAATCTGAGTGTAAATTTTCCTTAGGATTTATTGGGTTGCTGCAATTATGTTTGATTCCTTATTTATAGAGTGAGAGATCAAGGGTTACAACGAGGAATATGATGTTATTTGTGCTGACGTTTTGCTAAACTGATAACAATTATGTGGTTAGCCTTTTTTTTCCCTCTGCTTGCAAAGTTTCTATGTTTTTGTTTCCATGTTTAGTTTGATGTGGTTCATGTGTGTCATTCTGTATTCATAGGATGAGAATCATGGATTTGTAACTGGAGCATAGTTTATTGAATTTAGAGATGCAAACTGTATTGTTGGGCGCAATGTGTCAGTCTGCCTTATTCTGGATAAACTCACTATTTGTTAGGTTCATAGAAGCTACACATTCATCAGCTGTCAATTTTGGAAAAGGAATTTTGCTGTGTACGCATTGCGTATCTGTGCATTGCAAGAATACCACTTAGTCTGGTTTGACTGTTAGTATCTGTTGCTTTAACGGCCATGCTCACGCGGTTACGCCTATGCAATTTGATCCTCTCTTTCCAGGTACTACTCTAGGGAGGATGCTGAAGATGCTGTCAAATACATTAGTGGGACGATGCTTGATGATCGTCCAATCCGTGTTGATTTCGATTGGGGCTTTGAAGAAGGCAGGCAATGGGGCCGTGGACGAAGTGGTGGACAAGTAGTGCCTTGATCTTATTCTAACAAATATACGTGGGTTTCTACACGCTTTATGCTTATATATTGTTTGTTTCTTTTATAGGTCAGAGATGAGTACCGTACAGATTATGATCCTGATATCCTTTGATGCTAATCTATTACAGTTTACTCCATTCTGATTTGGTGCTATAGAACATAGAAAGCCATAGGATGTTTCCATAAATGCTCCACACCTCCTGGTGTCAACTTAAATTCAGCTATAAAATTACATGTTTCTCTGTGCCTTTGCATATTCCCTTTGTTCAACAACTGCTCTCAGGAGTTCCCAAGTTTCCTTAATGAATCAAACGAAGAGGTGGTTACGGTAAGATGGTTCAGAGGGAACTAGAAGCACAAAGAGAATTAGTTGACTATGGTGGATCTTTTCAACCGAATGCACCACCTCCCTGTAAGTTTGATGTTATTTGGATTATGTTCTTTTGAGAACGAATTTCCATGAATTCACATTTGTTTTGTGACGCCTATGATTTTGGTCTTTGATTGAGTTCTTAGGGGTTTGTATAGTAACAATTCTGGTTGATTCAACATGTAATGTTTGCTGGAATATCTGAAACAATTTTACCTTTTTTCTAGTTCTGTTAGACTGTTACTCTTCTTATCTCTGCAAAGCATTCTTTACACAGTCCAATCTCTCTTTTACCTTAGTGGCAATCAGTAGGTGGCCACTTTTACTCCTCTTTTAGCTGAGTTTACTTTTGTGATGTTGTGAACTTGCATAAGTCGGGGTGTTTCACTTCTTGTCCGGAGATTGTGGTGACTGGTGATTCAATTCTTTGCCGCATATTTTGCAGTCATTTTGATCATTAGATGGCCAGTCGTAGTCATTTAAGTAGATCTTTAGATATGTTGGGACATAAACTTGCCATCTTATTTTAATGTGCAGATGAGAAAGGTGAGCGGAAGAGAGGATATGGAGATTCTCATAGGAATGACAGAGGAGGTAACACATTTCAACATTGTTCTTTTGTGTGTTTATTTTTGCCCACTAACACGATATGAGTCTCCAGATTACCAGCGGAAACGCTACCGGAACGATGATCGGTCGGCACCAGAGGAGTCCAAGAGAGCACCCGACTCTGATCCAGCGGTATTAGCAATGTTCCTTGTTACGCCATGGCCCCTTGTTATTCCTTTGTGAACCAGAGATATTCATAACACATTCGACATTTCATTTACAGGAGAAGAATCCTAGATTCCGTGAGAAAGGTGACTCTGATGAAGAGGAGGATGACTACGACAAGAGACGTCGTCGCTAGAGCTGTGTGGAACAAGCTGTTGCTACATGTAGTAGTTCTGATGTCCAGTCGCTGCAGAAGAGTCCACAGCTAGCAGCAGTATCCGAATTTCGCCCTGTTGTACAACAGACTTATTCGTCGGCTGGCCGTTCCTCCTTTTCTAGTGCTCCTATCATCTGTTAATCTGAATTGAATGTGCGTGGGTTTTACATGTGGTTCAAGTGGGGTACTGTGCTAACAGATACAATGAGTCTTATCTGTATGTTTGCTGCTGATGAAGACTATACTAAGACCAATGCATATATTCATTCTAATTCGTTATTACCGAACCCTAACTTCAATTTTTCCTGTCTGTTTCCCCGACAACTCTAGTGGCCCTATGCTTGTGTGCATTGGCTTGTGCTATCCGCTTGGCTCTGTCGGTTGCCGGTGCCGGCCGGGGGCCGTGCGAGCGCCTGATGCCCTGATGGTAGGCGCCGCCTCGCCGGTTCACAGCCGGTTGCTTGCCAGCAACGGCAGAAGCCGCTGCGTCCGGTGTCGTAAAGGTTGGTCGGCACAAATCCACAGACCACAGCAACAGCATATAGGTGAGTAAAAACCAGTCGCCTGGTTCTTCAGCAACACTTTTCAGCGAAGGAATAATGTTTCTCTCAAATTAGCATCAGCATAAGCCAAATTTCAGCTAAGGAGTAACTGATTGTTCTACATTTACTGTCTGCGGCTCTATGCTCCAAATGAAATTATTTACAAGGTCCAAATTGATATTTCGATTATTTCGAGTAGATACAAGTCATTTTAAAGGTGATGAGAGTAGATATGGCCCAATAGGCGCCCTCCGGTGCAGTCGTGCAGTATTTCGGCCGTACAGCAAGCATCAAATTATACTAGCCCTAATTTTTTTTCCCTGAAAAAAGCCCTAGTTAATTCATCGCAAAAAGACCGACACATAGAAACATGAGCAAAAGTTCGAACACTGGTGTTCTGCTCCAAGTCGAAGGAGGAGAGGCCCTGACTTCTTCCTGGCTACTGCCGTCGGGCACCGGCGAGGAGCCATCCTCCTCGCCGGGGACGTCGTACTCATCATACTCCGACTCCGAGTCGTCGCAACCGTCCTCATGACCTCATCCCAGTACTCCTGCTCCTCCGGCACCGGCGCCCGGAAGCAGGGGCACGTCCGGTTCACGGCCGTCCAGCTGTCCAGGCACTTGCGGTGGAACGTGTGGCTGCACGGCATCAGCTTCACGGACGTGGCTCCGCCGACCAGGTACTCCTTGTAGCATATGGCGCACTCCCCGACGACCGCGCCAGGCAGCACCTCCTCGTCCTCGTCCTCGTCCTCGTCCTCGTCCACGACGATGCTCCCGGGCGCGCCCGCCTCCACGGTGATCGCCATCGCCTTGTAGAAGGAGTTGGTGCATGGCGTGGGAGGCGGACAGGTTGAAGAACTCCTCCACGCTGGGCGCGCACTCCCGGGGAAGCCCCGCGGTCGCGACCATCTCTTCCACCCGCTGGAGCTGGCTGAAGAGGACGAAGTCGCCGCTGTTGCACGTGAAGCGGCCCGTCACCTGCTGAGCGTTGGCGACGGCTGATGCCGGGGCCTCGGCCTCGCTCTGCTGCGGCAGGTTCTTGAGGAAGTCGATGGTGACCGGCGGCATGCGGTCCTTGCCCGGGGTGCAGTCGATGACGGTGTTGAGGCGGAGCGCCACGCCGGGGCACGGCAGCGCGGTGAGCCCGATGCTTAAGCAGGAGCTCCCTCCCGGGCCGTCGCCGTAGGTGTAGCGAGGAGCCATGGTTACGGCTGGGGCGAGCCTGAGCTACGTGCACCCGATCGATTGAGTAGTAGTCGTAGTATACGAGGTTGAAACGATTAAGGACGCTCCATGTCTTTATAGAGACCAGCCCAGTAGGACGTCTCAGTAGACCGTAGCCGAATCGAATCTGAGTCCTAACCAGGGGCGGCAAGTTATCAGTACATTCCATGTATGCTACTGAAAGTTTGTATCAATTATTTAAGCATCTTATTAATGACTACAATCCAAATGAGAAAAAAAACGCAAAATAAAATGTTATATATCTTGTCCAGAACTACAGTTTTCAAATAAAAATTTTCATCTCTATCCAACTTGTATGAAAAAATAGGATATTTCTAAGACGACAGGCCTCGGCGCTTAATATTTGTTGAAAGTTTGTATCAACTTTTTAAGCATCTTATAAGGAATTTAAATGACAAAAAACTCAAACCCATAATAGATTTATTTTGAGCTACTCCCACCGTTCTAAATTATAAGTTACTTTGACTTTTTTGGTTCATCCATTTTACTATGTATCTAGACATATTATTATATTTAGATACAAAATCATATTATTATATTTAGATGCAAAATGGATGTATCAAAAATAGTCAAAACGACTTATAATTTAAAACGTATGGAGTATAATTTTAGCACGTGGTTGATGCATAGGGCTAATTGTTAGATAACTAAATTTTAGTCCTAGTCCAACCAAACAAAGGGCTAATAGGTGGGCTAAGCTTTTAGCCAAAAGCTTCAACCAGTTATTAGAAATTAGTTTGTAAATTCCATGTAATTTGGGCTAGCCCCAGCTAACTAGTCCTAGCTGATCCACTCCCTATAAAAAAACATATGATTTTTAAGGTGACAAGGTGGATTTGTCATGCCGATACTAGTGCCGATGCAAAATAGAGTTGCCCCACCAATAAAAATGGCGTGATAAGCTTTTCAAATGGAACAGCACCAATTGATTCTTAACGTACGTTCCAATGTGGCACACCTTCCCGCCACAATGCATATGAGACAGAGTGATTTTGTCACTTCATGTCACCTGACAAGGCTTAAAGATTTAGATCCACTTGTAAAACCTTCAACGGCCTCCTTTGTGCACAGTGGCGCTACAGGTTGAACACTGAGCCATAGATATGTAGTGAGATTTCTCGGACTCAGACAAGAACATTTGCAGTCTGTAGAAACCTCACCAGTTTCTGCTAAAAAGTTACAATTCTTACTTATTACATACATAAAGGGAAAATTTTGAGTAGACCCTTCTCATTGGGCAGTCGTGGCTACCGATCACAGATTCATGCCACATGTCCATGCGCAAAGAATTTAACTCCTGGCCAAAATATTTGCCCACCAACAACCAAGCGCTCCAGGTTGCATATTTGCCCAGGGTACAAGATGATCTCATACCCAAAAAGCTACAACTTAAGTCTACAACCATATTGCTTGACATGAATTTACTCAAGAATAGAACTTGCAATCAGCTGCAATAAACAAGCAATTAGGAGATGACCTTGGCACGACTGGCTGGGTCTTCCTTGTGTTCGACCCACATCATGAAAACGTAACCAAGGCACCACAGCAGCACATACTGAAGTGGAACCCAGCACAGAAGGGCGACAAGGCTAAGCATACTCCCAACATACTGTGGGTCTTTGATATAGCCAAAGGGAAACTCTGTCACCCACGGGATCGTCTTTCCGAATCGAACGCCATAGTAGGTACCAGGCTCACCAAGCAGCTGGTACACCCTGAAAAGAAACAAAGGTTTCAGGAACAAAAGCAATGAACTGTGTGTCCTTCATAACATTGAATACAGTGTAGGCTCTTTACAGCTAGGTAAAAATTTTAGTTGCAACTCTAACAAGACATGAGCGCTAAGTAACCAGATAATAACACAATATGGTGGCCAATTTCAGAATAGCAGAACATAGGCAGATACTGTGAACAGCACGTATAAACCAGAATACAATCTTTAGAGACAGGATGCACTATGAACTCCCTCACGTCCTCACAATACTATAGAAGAAAGCAGGACAACACTCACAGTACAATTCCCATGCGGCGTACAAGTATTATGGAAGATGACAAAATACAATGTGTATGACTAGATCAGGATCTTCTTGCAGTAGTTCAAATGACAAGATTTTCTGCTACATGTGTATCATTTTTCTAACTAATCGTGCCACTGAAATTATGTTTCACCTTTGTTATCCTTAGACAGCCATCTAATTATACTAGTTCTGTGACCACAACAGCCGGACCCATGCAGCAGTGTCAGCACGACATCTACTGGAGGCCCGATCTTTGGTGCTATCCACCTCTGATCTAATCCAGCTTGCATGTGTTCGATACAGAAGAGTATGATTTCATCTGTGTTCTATACACTATTTGTTATCTTACTAAATCAGCAGTAACAACGTACTAAACTTAAGGCCAGGGATTTTCATAAGCACAGAAGCCACCAGTCCACCAATCGATGAATTCACTTGATGTTACGCATACCCCACTAAATTCATTTACACCTTATGATAGGAACCGAGGTTCCTCCTCTGACCGAGCATAGGTTGTAGCGGTGGGTGATCGGAGGCCGAGGCCTAAACCGCGATGGACCACGGCGGGGCGCCGTGATCTCGCGAAGGGAGAGGGTGGCGGCGCTACAGTACCGGGGCTACAGTGCCGCGGTACTGTTCACGGAAGAGAGAAGGCGGCTAGGGTTTCTCCCGGCTCCCTGAGGAAGCCGGAAACAATAATTGTTTCTGCTTACTTTCCTCAATAGAGTTTACAGGTATTTATATGTCTCTGAATAATAATAATAGAAAATAACTCTAATATTATGTAAAATATGATAAATATGGCCTTGAGCCCCCTAACCCGCCGCCTCCTCTCTAGCCACTCACGGGCCTTCGCCGAGTACTTGGATGCCGGTCATAACATCTCTCCCGCTTTCTCAAACAGCTTTCGTCCTCGAGCCGGAAGTCGAGTAGAAGGAGCGAACTCGTCGACGGACTCCCATGTCGCATCCTCTTCGGGGAAACCATGCCATCGGATCAGCACTGCCAGTGTCACGGCGCCCACCGACACGTAGCGCCTTGGCCGGGCAGAGTGTAACGGCCGTCAAAGGTCGGCGCCAGTTGGCCGGTGTTCTTGCCGGAGCGTCACCGCGGTGGCGCTTTTGAGCAATCCCGTGGAAGACATCATGAAGACGGGCACCCTCGGGCAGTT